AAACTGGTGTAAAAGCTATTATAATAGAGTTGTAAAATCAAAAACTTCGCTAGCGGTTTGACGTTTGCCGTAAACGTCAATCTTAAGGTCTCTATTGTTTTCTTTTACGCTCCTAGAAAGTTAAAGAAAACAATGGGTCAGTCCAAATTTATTAGCAGGGTCCGAGGTCGGAGACAACTCTATAGCTTCTTTTCCATTCATCGCGAGAGTCAACTCACAAGCTGTATTTTATCCAATTACAATACTCGACATTTTGTTTTTATTAGATGCAAACACGCGATTTTGTGGAAAAGAGAATTAAATTGTGACCGAACTGAACCGGTTTTGAGTTCGTCCTGGGCTCATGTGAATGTGACATCACTTTCTTTTGCACAATATGAACACAATTTATTATTTTATTTCAGATATCGAGGAGGTGGCCGAGGAGGATATGGTGGTATGCGAAGCGGTAGAGATGATTCAGGAGGGTTTGGAGGAGGTAGCGGCGGTGGCTTCAGACGTAATGGGGGATCAGGAGGTTTATCCAAGAGTACCACAGGACATTGTGTGCACATGCGTGGTTTACCTTTCTCCGCGTCAGAAGCAGATGTGAAGCAATGGTTTATGCCACTGAACCCAGTAGCAATCAGGATGGAGTTTGAGACAAGTGGTTCTGGTCAGCGGAGGTCACGTGGTGAAGCTGACGTGGATTTTGCAACCGATGCTGACGCTAAAGCCGCCATGGCGAAAGACAGACAATCGATGGGTGGGTGGAGAGACAAGCTTTACTTATACTGGAAAGCTCTATCAGTTTTAACTGTTCTCCCTGGAGGTCCAGTAAGAGTCCTCTCTTATTGATCCAGTGTTACTACAGGAGGAAACCTAAACTAAACTAACTTTATTTATTCTGGATAGCTCTATCATTTCTTAACTGTTCACCCTAGAGGTCCAGTAAGGATCATCCCATGAAAGGCTCATGCACAAACCTCTGTGGAATGAATTCAAACTTGAACTTTGTTTTAGGACATCGTTATATCGAGTTATTTTTGAGATCAGAATTTGATGATGGTGGTGGAGATGACTGGAGCTCTGGTGACCAGTCCTTTTTCTCTGGCCAAGGAATGAACTTTTCAAACAATACCCAAGGTGAAAGATTTTTAAACTTGTTAAATATGATGCTAAATTTCCACTCAAGAAAAATTTCCACGGACAGAAAATTCTCCGAAAATATCATTGTGTTCAAAGTTGAAAATTTTCAACTTCAAAATTTTTTTCCGACGGAAAATTTGTGTCGGCCAATCGCATTTTACAAAAAAATTTTCTTTCTGCGGAAAATTTTCCTGAGTGGAACGTTGCAAAACAGCATCCTCAAAATGGCGGATATTGGCCCGAAAGTGAGTAACACAACCGTTTATCTCTCTTTTCAGGTTTTGGAAACAACTTTGGCACCAACGCGGCGGCTGCAGGATTCAACGCCGCACCGGGAGCCGGTGCTTTTAACACCGGGGGCTTTGGTGGGGCGACCAACAGCTTTGGAAATATCGGTTCGGCGGCAGCGAGTACCGGCTACGGTGGGGGATATGGTGGAACTCAGGCGAACGCCATGGGTAACTCTGGCTTCTTTGGGATTTCAGGAGGTGCAGCAGCAGGTGGAGCATTTGTCAATCAATCCGGGGGGATGGGCAACCAAGCCGCACCTGGGTTCAATGCCGGGGGGACGTCTGCTGGAGCTTTCTCGTCTACAGCTGCTGGAGCATTCAATTCGTCGACCAACTTTTATGGACAAGACGTCAAAACCGGCATGATTTCTTATCCAACTCAGTATTAAACGATGTTGTTTAGTTTGTTTTCTGCTTGTCAAACGATTGGTATAAGTAGGGCTTGAAATGGCAGCCTGCCAGCGGCCAAACGCAGGCCATATTTCAGAAATGGCAGGCGAAAATTTGAGCTGCCATGTCAAAAATAAAATGGCAGGCGAAATTCTCCAAAAACAAAATGGCGTCCAATGGTTGAGGACACAATCGATTTGCAGTTTGGTTAGCGGTTTGCCGTAACGTCCATCTTAAGGTTCCTAATAGTTATAAAATAAAACAGGAAATACATAAATGATTGATATGCATGCAGAAAATAAACTTTTTATCTTTATGTCCATCCTGAGTGAGACCATTTTGGCAGTTCAAAAAATAGAAATGACAGACCATAATTTAGTTGACCTGCTAATTTTAAAAAAGTAGTTTGGCAGGCCATATGTTTTTCCTATTTCGAGCCCTAGGTATGATACCCTGGCCCAGAGGTACCATCTGGCTCTCAGGGTATGGGTATGATCGTTACAGGACAGGAGATGGTGGTCAAGTGCACAAATTTACTCTGGTAATGGTAGGTTGACCACCATCTGCTGCTTGTAAACCTTTTTAAACCTGGAGCTGTCGTAGTTACTGTAGTAGTTGTTGAAATGTTGGAAGAGTTTCATCACTGTAAATAGTTTAGAACTTTGTATGGTGTGTTAATGCAGTGTTTTAGAATATATTTTAATTGTTGATTTATTGTTATATTTACGTATTAAAAATATCTGAACGATTTTCAGAATTTGATTTTGACTTGCGCCAATCAGTTTATACTGTTACCATACCCCTGGGCATTTGAACTTTTTTAAAATTTTGTGGTCAAATGGATGAGTTGCCGGTTCGCAGGCCCCCTTTGTTCTGCGCGGCCAATTGCCCCCTGGCGATCCTATAATACATTGCAATGAATTATGGGATCGCCAGGGGTTATTACGTTGCAATGAATTATGGGATCGCCAGGCGGCAATTGGCCGCGCAAAACAAAGGGGGAACTGCAAACCGGCAACTCATCCATTCCCCACTTCCAGTACTAAAATGCCCCACATATAACGGAAAATTGATGCTCAAATGCCCCAGATCACTCAGTGGGGGCTGGAGGCTTCAGACCCCCCCCCCCCCCCCC